GAGAGCCCGGCCATCCATTCCCCGCCTCCGGGTCCCCTGAGCCGGCGCACGCCCCCTAGTCATGATCCTTCAGCGCCCTCGGGGAACACATTGTTGGGACTTTCCCTCCATTCCGTGGCCTTGGGAAACTCTCAAACACTTGCAGCCTCTGGTGCCCCCCAATGACAGGGAGACCAGATGGCCGGGCACTTGGCAGTGTTCCCAGCTGCCGTCCCCCAGCCAGGCCGAGCCTGGGGAGGGGCATGGAACTTCGCATTGCCCCATGGAGACCTGGAAATTGGGTAAGGGTCCCCGGACACCCAGCGGGGCATTGCCTTTCATGGCTCACCAGTGGGCACCGGTCCTGGCCTCCCCACCCACCAGTGTCTGGGGGCCCCTTCCTCCTCCTCCTCCTTTGGTGACCCCTGGTTGGCTGAGCCAAGGGGCCCAGATCTCGGCATGACTGCACATCGCCCTGATTGGGACATGGAGAACTCAGCCAGCGCTGACCCCGCTCGGGAGATTGCCCCCTGCCCAGACTTCCTGGAGAAGGGAGGGAGAAGAACAGCAATGGGACGTGTTACGTGTTTAATCTGTTGGTTTCTAAGCCAGTCTCATTATTCTGGGGGATCCGACTCCCGGTGTTTGGAGGCTCAGGGTTGGCCGTGCTGCACACGGGACATTTTCTACTCTGTGCACCAAACTCAGCACTGGGACAACTCTCCAGAGCCTCCAAGTGGGGCCCTCTGCAAAGCCTCTGGATTTCCCATCCCAGATCAGGGAGACCCCGGCCCCTTCCCCACAACACTGCTGGGGGTAGCGGCAGCATGGAAATAGCACACTGATGTATCACTCCCAGCTGGCATCTCTCCTCCTTACCCTCCCCTCTTCACTGCTTTCCTACTCAGTGCACCATGCCTTAGAAACTCAGAGCTAGCTTCTGCCCCCCCGGTTTGAAGCTGGCCATCCCCGGGCGAGGTCCTTTGTAGTGCAGTGCGTGCTGATTGAACTGAGCAACTGGGCACTTTGTCTTCCGGAAGGGGGGTTGCCCTCGTTCCCCCTTACAGAGGGCCGGTGCTATCATTAAGGCGAACTAGGCGGTTGCCAAGGGTGCCAAGATTTGGGGGGTGCCAAAAAGCGGTCCCCCCAATTAGTTTTTTACAGCGTTCCTCTCCGAGCGCACGGTCGCCACTCCACTTCTCCCGCCTCCCAGGCTTGCAGCGCCAATCAGCTGTTTGGCGCCGCAAGCCTGGGAGGAGAATTAGAGCGGGGGCGGCATGCTCGGGGAGGAGGCGGTGCAGAGGTGAGCTGGGGTGGGGAGCTGCCGTGGGGGGCGGGGCGCCTCAGGGTGGAGGGGGGGCGGGGAGCTGCCGCAGGGCTGGGGCGGGGGTGCAAGGTGGAAGTTTCGCCTAGGGCGCGAAACTTCCTTGCAACAGCCCTGCCCTTACAGTCAGCCAGTGTGTACAGACCGGCCTGTGGGCAGAGGGGGTACCCTGCTAGCTAGAGTCAGCAAATCAACTCGCCACAGGGAGAATCCTGCACCTGTTCCCCCCGGGGGAAAGTGGCAGGGTTTTACTCCACTAGCCTGATGTGCACGCTCTTGTGCCTCGGGAAAGCATGGACCGGAAGACAATTCAATGCAGCTCAGACTTGCTGAGTCCAGCCACGATTTCGTTGCTGTGGTTGTCGGCTCATACTAATTTCCCTCGCCCTGTTGGAATTTCAGTGGGATTGTTCTGCCCGATATCTCCTGTGGGCTTGGACCTAGGACAGTAGTAAGTAAACCCTACTGCCTGTTAAGGAGATTGATGGATGAGATGAGGATGAGATGACAGGAAGTCCCACCCACCTGTCACAGGAAGTCCCACCCTCCTCAATGCCACTGGAAGTCCTGCCGTAACTGAAAATGACGCTATCACAGAAAATGATGTTATGCACTATTCTTTGTCTCCCAACCCCCAACACAGCTACAGACCTTACTGCGACTTTAATAAGTAGACGTTCAACAGCTCTCGCTGAAAAATGTAGAACAGGCAGCTTAGTTCTGTTGAATCATTTCACAGAACAAAGAAAACATCAAACGATTTCATGGGGCAGAGGTTTGGAGCGAATTAGATTTAGGGCACTGCTCTGTATGGCACCCTCTTTGTGTGGATATGACAGGTGCTCATACACACACACACACACACTCAACCACACCGTCACACCCTTAATAATAGAAAGGCCAGACATCTCCCAGTTAATAGGCGAGACTTCCTTCACCAGAGGGAATCAGTCTCAGGGCCCCGGAATGTCAGTCTCTCGTAGACGGCGCGTTGGTCTGAAAGGCGAAGGATTTCTGCCTGTACTTTTATGTTTTTGGTGATGATTTGAGCTTACCCCACCTTATGGTGCCTCCTCTGGGCCAATAGGAAGGGGCGGCACGTCCGGGTCTTTAGTGGCAATTTAGCGGCGGGTCCCTCAGTCCCTCTTGGAGCGAAGGACCTGCTGCCGAATTACCGCCGAGGAATGAAGTGGCGCGGTTGAGCTGCCGCCGAAGTGCCGCCGATCGTGGGGTTTTTTTTCCTTCGCCACTTGGGGCAGCAAAAAAGCTTGAGCTAGCCCTGGCTTGGGATACAGCCAACACGGCCCCATCCTGTTGAAGGGAGGCAGACTTTGGGCCAATGTCAGTTTTGAAGAGTCCTGCTTAACCCTGAAGTGTTCTTAAAATAGTCATTGTTGCAAACCACATGCAGGGTGGCTATGTGAAAGTCAAAGCTATCGAAAAGAAAGGCGAGGCCAGTTCTGAGAACGTTTCCACAGCCTGGCCTGAGGGTTAAGCAGCCGTGCGCTAACATCTGGCCTCCTCAAAAGGAAAAGGGGCCTGCGGACCATGAACATCACTCGTGGTAGACATTTTAAAACTCGCCTTCATGCATTCATAGATTCATAGATTCTAGGACTGGAAGGGACCTCGAGAGGTCATCGAGTCCAGTCCCCTGCCCGCATGGCAGGACCAAATACTGTCTAGACCATCCCGGATAGACATTTATCTAACCTACTCTTAAATATCTCCAGAGATGGAGATTCCACAACCATTCTTAATAATAAAGGTGGACAGGTGACAGCAGATGGAGGCTCAAAAGGCTTTGCTTTGCAAACAAGCAAAGTGGAGAAGTCAGTGGCTGTTACAGGCTAGCTGGGTAAAAGATTACACAACTTGTTTCCTCAAGTCGTTTCTCTCTTAACAGAAAATTGACTTTAACGGTTGTCAAAATAAATTCCATCTGCAATAGAATTAATTGAAGTCTTTAGCAGGTCTGCAGTCTCAGATACATTGTCTTTCTCACCTAGTCCCTCACCCCAACCTTTGGAGTGAGGTGTTCCTTCAGAATACTTTAGTCCAAAGGGGGTAAATTACATCAAATACACTTTTCCCAAAGTAGCCATCATTTCCTGTATTGCTAACAGAAAGGAAAACAAGGTGACATTCAGTATTATAATATCCTTCAGTTTATCACATAATTAGTCTCTTATTCTTTAATTAATAATTAACTTCATGTTTAATTTCATTTTCCTTAGTAAGACGAACATAAACAAAGATTAACAAATCCTAAATGTTAGTTTGATCTCAATCCCCATTGCCACCAGGTGAACCCTGTGTAAAATTGTGGCCTACACCAAACCAGGGGAGTTCTGTGAGTTCGTTTTCCAGGGGTCTTCTGCCATAAGCGTTGGTGGAAGGGGTCTCCCACCATATGGGAAGGTTTGTGTCATGAGAAAAACACCTGTTCTCCACTTGCACAGGAAGCAAAGGAGACGTGGTGCAGATGCACAAGGCGCAAGAGCAAAACGCAGAGATAAGAGCTTGCAATCAGGATTCAACCGGCATGTATCCTGCTTACACCCCCTCTCTTTGCCTGGAGGTTGAGGCAGCTCTCTGAGTCTACTTCCTGTTCGGTGAGGATCTCTAGGTCAGACCCTTAGGGAACCATGTAGGAATAACAGGGAGATGCAGGTTTGTATCTCAGCTGCTGCCTGGCACAGGGGGAGGCCAAAGGGAAAAGGCAGAAATGCCCCAAACATTGTTAGGAAGAACCAAAACCAAACTGCTTGTTCCTTCCGGCAGTTTGTGCATTATGGTGCCATGGAAAGGGAAGGGGTCTGTGATGTCCCCGCCCCCCCGCATTATCAGTGTTGTCACAGGGAGGGTAGGCTGAGGCAGTGCGCTGGCGTTTGTTTTGCTGTGGTGCCCCCCAGGCTGAGAGCCTCGGACTACTGCATTTAACCCCCTGGCATGCCTTATCCTCTGCCAGGTACCATGGGGAGGGGACAGCAGGTAAATCAGTAAAGGAACCCCTGAGCTCGGACACCGGCCTGACTCACTCTGGCGCCCAGGGGAAGGGAGCTGCCCAGTGCCTGATGGGAGCAAGATTGGAGTCAGCCCTGTGGTCACTGCCATCCCAGGGCTGGCACCAAAGGGCCACTACTAGGGCTGCAGCCAGTCTGGCCATGGGACCAGGCACTCCAGCCCTGCCTGGGGAAAGCTCCCTCTGATTGGCTGCCTTTGCCACTGCCCTGCCTCCTGGGAAGAGCAGCCAATCAGGGCTGCTGCAGGAAGCAGCCAGCGCTCTGCCCTGCCCCCTTAGCCTCTCAAGAGCCCCCAAGCTCAGAGTGGCCCTGCCCCCTCTTCCCCACACCCCTCCTGTGCACAAGGGTCAGTCCACTCCCTGAGTCCCTCCTCCATTGCATCCCCACAGCATCCCTGGGTCTCCATAGTGACACCAGGGTGTCCTGCACTCCCCTGGTGTTTCCACAGTGACACCACATTGCCCTGCACCATCCTTGGGTCTCCATAGTGACACCATGGCGAAAAGGCCCATCTTTGTTCAGAAATGGGGCGACATTTCCTACTCACATCAGCGGCAGCACTGGGACATGTTAGAAAACACTGGATTTTATTGGGTCTGCAGAGAGCGGCAGTGGCTTTGGTCAGCTGCCCCATCACATGTTCAGTGGGGGGGGCGGGGGAGGGAAGGACACAGAAGGGATGAAGGGAATGGAAGAGGTTTTATCACATAAATTAACAGGACTAGAAAAATAAATTAGCAAAACCATACACTGCTACGTCCGTGCATATAAATAATATGGCGTGTTAAACCAAGATGGTGTCCACCTGCTTCCATCTCAGACCGACAGGCCAAGTTTCTTTAAGAAGTTTTTCTGGTTTTCTTTGTACGTCTTGAACCATTCCTCACTGGGGTCGACACAGACTTCCTTCCCCCTCCGCAGCACCACACTGTGAATAGAGAGAGAAAGGGCCATGAGGCAGGTTGCCTTAGGCACACGGACTCTGATCAGGCACGGTGCTGCGGGGCTGCTGCTGTGGGCACTTGCCTCCCCCAGCTTTGACAACGCACCTCAATCCGGACCTGCAACATCTTGTGCTATTGCAATCTGTGGTCCCCCCACACGGACCGGTCCATACACCATGAGCATGGCCTGCCACGCTCCCAGCCACTCCAGCACAGCTCCCACCCGCTTTGTCAATGCACTGCTGTCCGAGGTTGGAGTATCCCCTGCCAGTCCAATTCTGGGCTCCCGCACGACTCAGTGCACTCAAGTCCTAAGATCAGTGCCACTGACCTCTCTGCCAAGATGCCTTGAACCTGATGTGCAGGCGTCCAGAGCTGGGGCAAACACAGAGCTCTTTGAGAGCAGCTCTCACTACAGCATCTGAATTGATTCAGCCATGCAGAGACATTCGCTGACAGTGACACCTACCCCTCCTCTAACTTGTCAGTTAATCTATTGCTCCTTTCCAGTGGAATCTCATCAGTTCACACTGACTGTGAGACCCCGTGGCTATCTGCTAATGTGCAACAACATTGGCAGTCCACACGCACAGTAAAAATAGCAAGGATAGCACATCCCATGGTGCACTTTGCTTCTTTATGGTTACATGTGTCATTGGGTTTGGATCTCCAATAACTCTTTGGGCAGTAACAGATGATTTACCCCGATGTATTTAGGGCTGGGCTACATAGAACGTTGCAGCAATTGACATGATTTAGGGAAACCAGTGCAAATATCTGTGGATGCGCTCACAAAAGTGTCGTGTGGCAGGTGAATTAGGAACAAGGTTTGATGGAAACTAAAGTAAGCAAGGCCACTGGCATCTATTTAACAAATTGGTTTTTAAATCAGACCTTTAATGAAATGGGTGGAACTTTCCATGTAGACCAGCCTTAGCTTGACAAAGCCCTGGCTGGGATGATTTAGCTGGGAATTGGTCCTGCTTTGAGCAGGGGGTTGGACTAGATGACCTCTTGAGGTCCCTTCCAACTCTGATATTCTATGATTCTATGATAGTAATGAAATCCCAGGATAGAAATCACTATTAACCCCTCGCTGCAAAGGGGTCTATTAGCGAGCTCGCTCTGCATGTGAATCATCAGGTGGCGGATTAGCAAACCTGGAATTGAATGCGGTACAACATGAGCAGCTCTCGGAAAGGACTTTTCTGTGGTGTTTACTGAAACAGACGAAGTTACAGACGCAAGAGAAAAGAAAAGCATCGAGCCCGTGCCTCTGCCACCCTGTGAAACTTACATCACGGCCTGGCGGGAGCATCTATGATCTGTGGGTCTGTCGCTCCGGATCAGTTGCGGGGAGATCGGTTTTCTGACAAAATTGTTTGCATAACAGCATGTGTTGTGTTTCCTATCAACTGGAAAGAAGAAAGGAAGATGTGTGAGTTCTCATACGCTGGATAATAATGAAGAACTGGGGAGACAGGCTTAATCATGTGTAATAGTGACTTCAATAGTGCTAGGAAGCGGCCAAACCTCTCTCTGGGGGTCAGGAGGGAATTATTTGATACCCCCCCCCAGATAGGGTTCATTGGTGTTTTGCACGGGAGGGTTTCTGCCTTTCACTGGCACCGAAATATTGCAATTATAATATTCCCAGCTTTGCCACTGAGTCACTGTCGATTTCACTGTTTAGCTGTTTGCCTCTCTGTGTCTCACTTTCCCCACTGGTAGCATGGGGACAAGGATGTTCACACCCCTGCCAGGGGGCGGGGGCGGAGGTTTGCAGGGGTTAATTAATTTATGTTGATTGTAGCAACCTGCATGGAAGTTGGAGGGAGGAGCATAGGTTGCAGGAGGCTGCAGGAAGCCAGTCTGCGTGCACATGGCTTGAATGCTCCCTGCGGTTGCAGGATCTCTGTGATAGATTCTCTTAATAGAGAACCAGCTTAGTTTTAGAAACAGGGAGTCCTCTCATGTTACCCAACACGCGGGACATGAAACATCAGCACAGCCTTTCAGGCCCTTAGATGAGGGACTCTGCAGCCCATTGTGGTTCCAGCCTTGTGCTTAGAACGGGTCAGGAAATGACCTATTTTTTCTAGGGTGACCAGGTATCCGGTTTTCAACAGGAACACCCGGTTGAAAAGGGATCCTGGCGGCTCCGGTCAGCACTGCTGACTGGGCCATTGACTGTCTGGTTGGTGGCGCTGCACAGTGGGGCTGGCGGGCTCCCTGCTAGCCTCCATGCCACGCAGCTCCCAGAATCAGCGACATGTCCCCTCTCCGACTCCTACGTGTAGGGGCAGCCAGGGAGCTCCACACGTTGTCCCGCCTCAAACGCTGCCCCTGCAGCTCCCATTGGCTGGGAACCGTGGCCAATGGGAGCTGCGGAGGTGGTGCCTGCACACGGGGCAGCGCGCAGAGCCACGGAGGGGGGACATGCTGTTGCTTCTGTGAGCTGCTTGAGGTAATTGCCACCTGGAGCCTGCACCCCTGACACCCACCCCTGCACCCTCACCCCTCACCCTGATCCCCCTTCTGCCTCCAAACCCCATGATCCCAGCCCAGAGCACCCTCCTGCACCTCAAACCCCTCATCTCCAGCCTCACCTCAGAGCCCACCCCCTTAGCCAGAACCCTCAAGCCCCCCTGCACTCCTACCCCCAGCCCAGTGAAAGTGAGTGAGGGTGGGGGAGAGCAAGCAATGGAGGGAGGGGGGGATGGAGCAAGCGGTGGGTGGGGCCTTGAAGAAGGGGCGGGACATGGGTAGGGCCTTGGGAAGGGGTGTGGCATGGGGTGGGTCAGGGGTGTTCGGTTTTGTGCTATTAGAAAGTTGGCAACCCTAATTCTTTTCCCAGGGAAAAAAATCAGCAAAAACAACCCCCAAAATTGTTTTTGTTTAAAAAAAAAAAAACAAGACGTTGGGATCTTCTCTGAAAAATCCCAAAATGAAAATGTTCCCTTTTCTGGTTTTTTTTTTATGAAAACCTGAAAAATATTGATGAGAACAGAATTTGTTCTGTGAAAAATTCCATTGTGAGGAAACCCATTTGCCAGCCAGTGGTTTTGATGGGCAATTCTCTGCCAGCTCCACGCATGGCAAGCATCTTCCGAAAGTAGATTCTGCTACCAGCCCCAGGGCTAAGCACCACACCGCAGGTAGCCCAAAGCCCGAATCTCCTGTCCATAGTACTATTATTATGAGTACTGCAGTTGTAGATAGGCCAGGGGCATAACTGGAAGGAACTAATGTAACGATTTGGTGCTGCATTCACCAGCTTAAACAGGATTTGGCCATCGAAAATCTACAACTTGCAGAGCAAACTCCAAACCATCCACTGAGATGTTATTTCCCCCTGACCAGCCTGATGTAAAAGCTGAAAATCCATCAAAAGGTGCAGACAGGCATCTAAATGCCTTCGAAAGCAAATGCCTCAAGAAAACACTATGTATTAAATGGCATGAATGTACCCCAAAGTTGAAAGTGTGCTGAGTTTCCTCAGAGAATTTGACACCCCTTTAAGCTCCAAACGTATCCAGAAAAGAAGATGGCAATATCTGGGATGTGGGCAGGGGCGGCTCTATGTATTTTGCCACCCCAAGCACGGCAGTGAGGCAGCCTTTGGCGGCGTGCCTGCGGGAGGTCCGCCAGTCCCGCGCCTTCGGCGTACCCGCCACCGAATTGCCGTCGAAGCCGCGGGACCGGTGGACCTCCCGCAGGCATGCCGCCGAAGGCAGCCTGACTGCCGCCCTCCTGGCGTCCAACAGGCTGCCCCCGCGGCTTGCCGCCCCAGGCACGCACTTGGTGCGCTGGTGCCTGGAGCCGCCCCTGGATGTGGGTAACGAATGAACCAGAGGAATCCACAAAGGGCCTGACTGAAAGAATCCATCCATCAGACACAGCTCAGTGAGGGGAAACTTATGGGCCTTAACAACATAGAGGATATGCCCAGAGCAGGCCGGGATAGGCAGGGATCCTGGAGCCCTAAGCTATGTCTGATGAGGCAGGAAGGATTCAGATTCAGAAAGAGATGGGGGCCCCATTGTGCTGGGTGCTGCATGGAGCCATGATCTAAACAGACAAGACAAAAGGAGGCTCGCGAGCTCCATTTCCCAGACGGGGAACGGAGCCACGGCGAGACGAAGGCTGAGACTTTCAAAACTGCCCTGGGGATGTCAGTGCCTATTTTCCATCCTTTTCATGGGAACGCCTAAGATAGCCCAGCCTCAGTGGCTCAGCTAGGTCACACAGAGTCCGTGGCAGAGGTGGGACCGTACCCAGATCTCCCAGTGCCCAGCCCAGTCCCTTCCTCTGCACTGTGGGTAGCTTTCCTTCCAGATCGCCTTGTCTAAGCTGGGATCTCCCAGAGAAAGAAAGGGGCTGACCCTCTACTTACAGCTGAATGAGTGGGCTTCCATCCAGAGAGCCGCCAGGAGCAGTGTTACGAGGGCTAAGGAGGTGACCTTCATTTCCAGGCGGGGTGTCTCGGCTCCGGCTCCAGCAGCAGGCAGATTCGGGCAGGTTGGGGTGGCCGAGAATGGTCTGGCTTCCCCCTCGCCGGCCGCTGTATTTTATAGCCCTCAGCAGGGACTCCCATGATGGTGCTGGAATGTCCACGGAGGATGAATACTTATTCCATTCGTTCATTATCATCTATTAATACCTGTCTCCCCCACTCCGCCCCACGCTCCTGTGACCAGGGGAGACAGCAGAGCAGTGTCACTGGAAAGTCTCTTGCTGATTTACAGATAAGGAGCCAGCCCTGCACATGCTCACGGGGGAAGACAGAGAGGGGCAGGCAGAGGGTTTTAGGTTTAAATTTAGTCATTTGCAAACCACACAGGATGAGGCTCGACTCCCTGCCCGTGTGTTTGCTGCAGGCCTGTTTCAAACACAGCCAGTGACACCGGCCAGCGTGCCTTCGAAATGATGCATAATCCGGCCCATTTTGTGCAGATGACAGGGGCGCGAAGGTATATTGCAGAGGAGTTGTCTACCGACGCACTCCCAGGGCCACAGAACCTGAGTGCCTCACGGTCACGAACCCATTTCATCCTCAGCCCCCTGGGAGGCGGGGAAGTCTCAGCCCTATGGTACACCTGGGGCCAGAGGTAGATTAAGTGACTTGCCAAAAATTACATAGGGACACTGTGGCAGAGCCTGAGACGGAGCCCCCAGCACAGTCCTGGGCCAGCACACCCTGTTATAGCCCACCGAGAGAGGGGATTGAACCGGGGACCTCTTCCACTACACTCATAGGTCTCTATAACTCGCTCTCTGGACCTGAAACCCTGCAGTGGCGGAAACAGCAGCTTCATTTCCCTGTTATGCCTCCAGGCTGCGGGAGGAGGAGAAAGCCCCACCCCCTTGGGAGGGTGATACCCTCACAATATTTTTGGGGTGCAGGTTAAGCTGTTTAGATGTCCAGGAGCAAAATCCTGCTGTCATTTCATGGTGTAAATGCAGTGAAGTGCCATGGACTCCAGTGGAGAGACTCCAGATTTACACCCCTGTGTCAGCAAGCAGAATCCGGCCACTAAATACCTAGCTGCACACACAGGTCCGGTAGGTAGGCATCGACATGGCCTCCAATGAATGAGACTCTTGTGCACACCAGACAGACGCGTGTGGCACGTGTATCGTGAGGCAGTGGGCACCGCTTTAAAACATTTGAAAATCAGACAGGCCGTTAACCATTTTGCTGAATTTTCCCATGCCGGTTGTCTGCCCCAGGCTGAATTTGATTGGCAAGTCCCCGCAAAAACGGTTCTGTCATTTCCAATAACAAGGTTGGAACAAATGAGAGTGTTTTGCCCAGCTGAAAAAATTCTAACAACTGCCCGTGATTTCTCATAGGATTGTAACTGAGCTACCAGAGGGCAGATTTGCACAAAAGGCGCCTCTCTCTGTCCCCAGGGCACCCCTGCAGCTGACCGCCACGCCCCTGCTCCGAGCCCCGTCACTTCACCATGGAACAGTGACTGACAGACGGTTGCATTTTTCCAACCTCGTTGTCAGAACTGGCTGAAATTGTTTTAAATGAAACTCTCCAGAAAAATTCAGCCTGAGGCAGCCACCTGGCCTGGGAAATTTATACCCAAATGGGTAAAGTTTGGGGAAATGATAAGCAAATGAAAACAGGGTCTTTGAATGAAAAGTGTTGGGCAACCTTAACGCTAGGTGGCGTTTCCAGCTCTGCCTAGATCAGTCAGATCCATGATTCTGGCCCAGCCTGTTCTAGGGGTCACATTCCCCCAGCTCGGGGCTGTTTGGCGTGGGTCCGTCCCTAGCTGCGGGGACACCACATGTGTCTGCCTTTCCTGTCGGGAAATCTGGCTCCCAGGGAAACACTGTGGCAGGGCGATATTGGCTGGTGGAGACGCCAGAGGAACCGAGCGCTGTCCCAGGATAACAGGGAAAAGCTCAGAGAGAAAAGCTGGGCCCCTGCCTCACCCCTCCCTAGCCCTGTGCCCGGTGTGGCTGTCTTCCTGCTAGGCCCCGCTGCTTTCCAGCACCACAGCAGGCCTCTGCTCACATCTCCTGGCACCATGGACAGGGGTTCTCAGTGCAGGGAGGCTGGGCTGGGAACTAGAAGGGGACGGGCTGCAGCCTCCTCCTCAGACACCATCCGCCGGCACCCAGAGCAGGGAACCCCTCTAGCATCTGCCAGCAAGGATTGCCCCCGCCCAGCGCGCTGGCAGCCACAGGGCACCTCCGCCAAGCGGCAAGACCCACTGCAGCGAGGCTCAGAGTCGGTGTGAACACAGCGGTGTAGGCAGTGGGCGCAGGCTGGAGCCCAGGCTGAGACCTGGCAAGGGGGGAGCAGGGTGAGTGTGTTTGTAGGGGAGTGTAGAGAGAGTCCAGAGTGTGTGTGTACAGCACAGTGTGTGTGTGTGTGTGTGTGTACAGCACAACGTGTGTAGGGTGTGTGTGTGTGTACAGCACAGTGTGTGTGTTGAGGGGTGGGTGGGGGTGTGTACAGCACAGTGTGTGTGTTTGGGGGTGGGTGGGGGTGTGTATAGCACAGTGTGTGTGTTTGGAGGTGGTTGTGTGTGTGTACAGCACAGTGTGTGTGTTTGGAGGTGGGTGTGTGTGTGTACAGCACAGTGTGTGTGTTTGGAGGTGGTTGTGTGTGTGTACAGCACAGTGTGTGTGTTTGGAGGTGGTTGTGTGTGTGTACAGCACAGTGTGTGTGTTTGGGGTGGTGGGGGTGTGTACAGCACAGTGTGTGTGTTTGGGTGTGTGTGTGTACTGCACAATGTGTGTGTTTGTGGCCATGTATACCGCACCCGCACACAGGGCAGTACCTTTCATACTGAGCAGGCCCCTGGTTTCCTTGGCTACGCCTGGCGGAAGGGACGGCTCCGTGAGGGTGGAAGATCCTGGGCCCTCAGAGCGAGACAAAGCCTGGGGTGAAGAGGCCAGTGGAGGGGAACATTGGCTGTTAGGATAATTTGTACCCCGGAGACCCCCCCCGGAGCAGAACCCCATTGCGCCGAGTGCCTGGCTAGGTGTTCAGCACCCGATTGTAGGGGATCACTGTCCCAGCCCTGGTCAAGCGCCCCCTTCTGGACACTCACCAGGCTGCTGTGTTTGCATCCCAATGCTGGACCTGGGTGCTTTGGGCATGTTGAGTCTGAGCACAGGCCAGACCCTGCCTCTGGCTTTGGGTCTCAAGACACGTCCCCAGGGTGCCGATCCTCCATCTAGCACCCTCTGCTGAGTGTTGGGACTTTGCAACCCAGCTGCCTAGCCCCTGAGACCCGTGCCAGCTCCCACAGCAGCCTCGGCACACCCCGCCCAACTCCATCCTGCAGGCACTCCGGCGAACAGTTAACCCCTGCAGGGACACACCACAGTTGAAGCAGGCAGAGACCTTGCGTGGGGTTTCTAACACAATCACACTTCACTTTAGACAGCATAAGAGATGTACAGACACAGGCAGAATACGAAACACCAGCGCGTGGATCCCCGCCTCCCATTCCTCATCACTCAGAGCATTCTTCGGGATTTGAATCCGTGTCCTTTCGGGGTTCCTGGTCCATCCTGGGACTCCACGTCTCCAGGTCAGGCTTCTCTCCCGAACCTCACTAACCTCTCCAGTCAGCTTCCTCTCGCCTCCTCTCAAAGTCAAACAGTTCCCTCTCCCTCCAAAAGCCTGTCGCTTTGTTCCTCTCCCGGTCCCATTGTGGGCCCCTCAGCAATTTTACATGCTAGTTCCCCTTCTGGGGACCTTCCACCAACCCCCATCCCTGCACACAAATCTGGCCCAAACTGGTTCCCCTAGGCGTCAGCTGTGTTTAAACGGGAGCTATTTGGTGCTAATGACTCTAATGAATGTCCCTGGTCTGGGAGGGAAGTGACAGATGGCTGGCTCCGGAGCCACTGGTGTATTCAATGACACAGCGATTTTACAAACCCACCGAATTCATCAGATCCCCCAAACTGGCACAAACACTTCGCTGATTTCATGGTTGATATATTTGTATATTTCGATACATAGACGAGGAAGCCAACAACAACATTGCCAGGCCTTTCCGGAATCAAATGCCCACGTACGCACCCATATGCTTACACGCAGGTACGTATTAAGCTCGAAGCATTGTGTTTGACATTTCTTACCCCAGAACGATCATAAAAAGTCGGGGGGACGTGGGATCTGCGCAGGAAGCGTTGTTTAGCTAACGGCGTCTGGCTGGGTGTCTCCCTCACTGGCTTGGTGGGGACGTGTTTCACTGAGTCTGCATAGCATGAGGCAACGCAACTGCTCCCTATTCCTTCTGCTTAGCTGGATGCCGTCACCTGCTGTCTGCGTCACTGCTCAGGGGTTTGTACTGGGCTGGGGCAGGGTTGCCTACGGGGCTTTGCAGACTAGGTGGGACACAGCTCTGGAGAAGAGCCTCAAAGGGGGCGGCTCGTCCCCGGGGGGAAGGACAAGCGGGTCAGGACATGGCTCTGGGGGAGTTCAGGGGAGTTTGCCCCTTGTGCCAGCCTTAACAGACACGGGTCTTTGGGCTCCTGAACTCCTGCCTGCATCACTGTCCTGCGGGGATGGGCCCTTCCTGTGCTGGTGGCTACTGAGAAGACCGGGAGGTTGTCCCAGCTCCCTGGAAGGAACTCTCCTGCGGGGCCATGGGGAGGAGGACGGCCTGGTCGAACCAGGCTACACAGGGAACAATCTGGGCCTGCAGGGTAGGGCTGGGAGTTTTAAAACTGCTGAGGGATCTGGGCACCCCGTTTTCCATGAGAACAGAACATCTGCTCCCCTAGACGGCTTTGCAAAGCCCCCCCAAGGAGGTGACCCCGCCGTGGTACAGACACCCCCCCCCATGGGGACCTTGTGGGAGGAGGTGCACTCGGGGGGATGCTAAATGCAACTGGAGACGCTGCATCCCAGCAGAGCTGCCAGCCACATCAGACGCCACTTTCTGTGTCTACAGCCCTCCCCTGAGATGGGCTGAGTCGAAGAGCCGGGAGTGGCTCCCCTGGCATTTCAGATCCTGCACCAGGGAAGGACAAACGAAGGAGTAAAAGTCAAG